CTTGTCGTGTGTGTGCAACGACGAGATTTGATGCCAGTTCCTTCAGATCTGTTAAGGGTTAACATCGACGACCGCAGTTCTGGGGGCACTTGTCCTTAGGGCATGTGCACGAAGACTTTCTGACTGTCAACGACAAGATCAAGCTGGCTTTGGTAGGAGAGTGGCGACAACAACGCGCCAGTGGCTAATTTTGGCGACGATAGTGGCCCTTTGGTGGTCTGGAGACCTCGATATACTTTTTATTATATTTGAGGTACTTTATACTTATGATAAACTTTTATAATTTATATGAATATTTTTCAAAAAAAATAAGGCCGTAACGATACACGATACTAGACAACCTCTTACATAGCAGATATCGGGATAACCGGACAACACCAAACACATACAACTATGTTGCAAAAAAACGTACGAAAGGTCTGAAGACAATAGCATGTCACGCCTTAGAACACATAAGCCACGAGAATGCCCTAAGGAGGGAGAAGGACGCAAAGCGTCGCCTTTGCCGAGCTCGAAGAGACAAGGGTCTTCACCCGAAACTCTAACACAAAGAGGAGAACCACAATGATGTTCACAAGGGAAGAGCGGCCACACCAAAGCGCAGAGCATTAATTGGACATCTCACCCGTGCCAGCACAAGGCCTCCAAAAAAACCGTGACGAGCACAAACCTCGAGATCCAGTCTGGGCGTCACCGCTACCAAAAACAGAAAAGCGAGCCCGAGCCACCCACCGCTACACCCCATCGTCGCCAACACGACCATCCTTACCTATTCGGAGCGACAACTTCGACCCGCCCTCGGGACCAGATCTTGCCGGCCAGAGCACGAACCCTAGGTTAGAACCACTGCCGCCGCGCGTGTAGGCATCATTGTCGAGCCCCGCCCCACCCACCACATTGTCTGCCATGGTGTCGCATCGCCTAGCGCCCCGCACAAGGGCCTGGCATAGGGAAGCCGACCTGTGTCGGCCCCGTCGCACAAGGTGTCGAGGACAAGACAAAGCCTCGCCACCATCCATCGGGCTTCGCCTGGTCGTGTCCTCTGGCAAGGCGAGCGAGCAAGAGGGTGGTCGGCGGCGGAGACCTAGGGCGTGCCCTCCCCGTCGCCTCGTGGGAGAGACACGAGATGGATGATAAGAGCATCTTCAGCCACGTACCTCTAACTTGACCCCTCAAACGCCCGCGGACGCGCCCGGTCAGTGACCGAGGCGTGTTTGTTTTGAGCCCCTACATTTTCGTCCGCGCAGCCACACTTGTCATATTTTTTTCTCACATGTCCAGTCACTTGCACTTGATTGGTGGAGAAGAAGAGAGAGAAAGAAAAGAATGAATATAAAAAGAGAAAAGGTGGTCATATGTCCGATCGTGTCATACGTCGTGGACTGACCGGGCGTGCCCGGGCACGTCCGCGAGCCCTCATAACGTGTCCGGGTGGATATGAGAGGTGCCGGTCAGTCCAGACGTTTGAAACGGATACGAGGGGTTTGGTTGGGTCGCATTTTTATGACCGGTCACCGAACGGACGGCCTGCCCGAACGTTTGAGATGGATATGAGGGGTCCAGTGGTAGATGCTCTAAGAATTTTCACTTTCACAAGCAAACGTGAGCATAGAAGGCTCCATCAATTGACAATTGAACCTCACATCATGGTCCCCACATGCACCACCACTAGCAGTAACAAATGCTACTACAATATCTCCCCCCCTCTGTCGCTCGCTCGCTCCAACGGGCTTCAAATAGATGGCCCTGCATAAAAGCCACTCATTTCTCCCACTGGCTCACTCTGCTTCCGCTCTCCTCCTCATCCTCTCTGCCACTAACCACCTCCCTCTGCATCAAACCCACCACTCCCTCCTCCCTCCCCTCCCCCGTTTCTCGCTCGCTTTCCCCCGGGACGCGACCGAATCTCCAGCGGCGCCGCCCCCCCCCCTCCGGCCCCAATGGTGAACCCGCCGGAGCTCTACCACCGGATCCTCGACGTCCCCAGGGGCACCTCCTCGCAGGGGCTCCGCGCCGCCTACAAGGGCCTCGCCAGGAAATGGCACCCCGACAAGCACCCGCCGGCCTCCAAGCCCGAGGCCGAGGCGCGCTTCAAGGCCATCACCGAGGCCTACGAGGTGAGTCCACCGCCCCGCCGCCTCTTCCCCGCGCGTCGCCGCCGTGGAAACCGCATGCATTCGCGGCTCGTCCTGATTCGCTGTCGGCGCGGGCTTGTTTTGGTTGCCGCAGGCGCTCCTGGACCAGCAGGAGAACCGGGCGGTCTTCGGGGCGTGCAACGACGACCGGGCGGCCGAGATGTTCGGGACGTTCGGCGCCGGCGCGCGCATGGCGAGGTCGCGCAGCGACGACTTCTGCATGCGGAGCGCGCCCGCCACGCCCGCCAGGGAGTTCACCAAGGTCTACAGCTCCGGCAACACGGGCGGCCGCCGCGCCTTCGCCGAGTTCTCCAGCTCCATCATGCGCAAGGCGCCGCCGCTGGAGCGCGCCCTCGAGTGCACGCTCGAGGAGCTCTGCCGCGGCTGCAAGAAGCAGGTCAAGTTCACCCGCGACGTCGTCACCAAGAACGGGTACTGCCACTCACTCACCGCTTCCTCCTTCCTCCTCATCCCCCCACCTAATCCATGAGCAGGACCGATTGAAACTTCACCTGAATTCCTCAAGAAAACAAAGTATCAATTCACGCGCAACAGGCCTGATGTGATCCATCATCCATCTACATGGGAGATTTCGACGGATCGATGCCTGGAAAATTTCAGGTCAGGCAAGAATTCAGACTTTCTCCCCGACGGCGACATCCATTCCACCTTGGCACCTTGCGCCTGCCCGCGCCCCCAATTTGCCGCACTGTTTCCAAATCCTCGATGCACAGTAGCCCAGCACCATTGCCGCTTCCTTTCCAGCCTACGCCGCACTTGTTTTTTACAGTGGGTGAACCGCTTTATAGCCCGCCTGCCCGCCTGCCTGCATTCGTCAGGGGAATATCTAGCTTACTTTGGAACATAACAACCAAACCTTTAGGCAACTGCTCTCCGGTGCGCGCCTTTTTTCACCTCGCGGGCATCTATGCCATCCTTGCAAAGATTATCCCACCTAACATGAGACGTAACACGACCGCTAATGATGTTCTTGGAAAAGGGTTTAGTGTCAGGGCCCTGTCTCGAGGGGATAATTCTAAGGCTTCGGTTGCTTTCCTTGCCACATATGTGTATGCAAGTTTGTTGGGGGCTTTGATTGCCCTTCTTTTGGACCTATAATCTAACAAAGATGTGGTCCTTTGACGGTATTAATTCATAAAAACCAAAATTTCGTGTACATGTGAGGGCATGGCCTAGGAGGGTTCAGAGACAATGACTCCTCAGCTTCCTTGCTCCTTTAGACTCTACTATCCCCTGGGAATGTTGTTGGGCTGATCACCATCACATGATTAATGCCTTTGACAGGTCAATAGTTAAGAAGGAGGTGACCCAGGCGATCATGGTGAAGCCGGGGTGGAGGAAGGGGCACAAGGTCACCCTGGACGGCATGGGGGACGAGAGGCCGGGGTGCCTGCCGGCCGACGCCGTCTTCACCGTGGCCGAGAAGAAGCACTCGACGTTCAAGCGGGTGGGCGATGACCTGGTGCTCAAGGCCAAGGTGCCGCTGGTGAGCGCGCTCACCGGCTGGTCCTTCTCATTCAGGCTCCTGAGCGGCAAGAAGGTGAGCTGCTCGTTCGACGACGAGGTCATCTGCCCCGGGTACGAGAAGGTGATCAAAGGCGAAGGGATGCCGATCGCCGAGCAGAGAGGCGCGCGGGGCGACCTACGGGTGAAGCTCGAGATCGTCTTCCCGGAGCAGCTCACCGACGAGCAGCGCGCCGGCCTCGCTCAGATCCTCAAGGACTGCACCTGAGTGAGTCTGCAATGTTGTTGTTAGGCCCAGCTGTATGTATGAGTTTTCCCGGCCGTGCTGTTAATACCTCTCCAGAGGGTGTGAGTACATAAAGAGATGGGTCCTTGTACATACAGTTCAGTTTTTCTCTCTATAAATATATAAAACGTGAGGCAAGCATTATGTGGCTAGTATAGTACATGTTTGGTCCATGAGCTGTATGTGCACGCGAGATCTCGCCTTGTTTTCTTGGCCTATTGATGCATCCAGTTCATTCATTGCATTAACTATCGAGTTAACTATCTCAGAGTGCAGTTAATTGGTGCTCGTTCCGTCAGTTACTAGCGTGCGCTGGTGCCAGCCTCGCGCTAATCCCTTGCTTGGCCGAGGAATTTACATTGCAGGTTTGCTTTGTGCATTCTTCCCCAGCTTTTCCTTGTCACCAACTGACACCCTGTTGATGCTGGTGGTGCTTAAATCTCAAGGAATTCAGGACAGTTTCACCAGTTAATCATACTGCTGCTGCAGGTGCAAGGATCGTGGATGGGCCATTTGGTAGGCGAGAAAAGCCCGCGCGATCCGGAGAATTCGACGAAACTGGACCATGGCAATGAATCGCTCGTACTCGAGCGCGAAAATTGAATGAAATGATCTAGTTGAGCTGAGGGGAGGAGGAGCTGGAATTGATGGTTGGTGCAGTGCAGTTCCTCCAGCAGATGTTGGGCCCCTGATGCTCCTGGAAAGGAAAGAGCAACCAAACCAACCCTGTTTGGGAGTTGCGGTGGTTCAGTGCCAATTGGCGTTTGGTAGCCCAGCAGCAACAGAAGAGAGCAACTTGTGTGTGTGCTGCACTAGTGCCAGTAGGTGCTGCACAAACACCTTGGGACAACTTGGCAACAAGTTCTCGATATGCTGCTGAATGCTTATGCCTAAACTAACCTTCCTTTTTTTCTCCTTTCTCAGACCATGCATACTGTAGCGAATTCGACAAGATGTGGTGCCGGCAAAGGAAGAGAAGGCATTTTATGTTCACGTGTCACAGGGTGGTCAAGAGGCTGCTGAATATAGATCCTAAGTTACAAACATGGAAGAATCGGTCGGATCATCGCCGGCGGCGGCGCGGCGGGGATTAGCTAGTACCCCATGACCGCCGACGACATGTTGAGCAGGGGCCCGAGCGTGTCGGGCGCGAACTTCCTGGCGAACAGGAAGCACATGGACGTCGGCCTCTGGTTGTAATAGCAGGGCCTGTCGCTCCTCCACCTCCTCCTCCTGATGCCCTGGATCGCCGCCGCCGTCACGTTCTCGGCCGTGTACTTGGCCGGGTGCGCGCCGCCCTTGCTCCAGTCCACGTACGTCACCGTGCGGTTGGCGTTCCGCGCGCCGTGCAGCATGTTCACCGTGGTCGGGAGGTAGTGCTCGTCCGGGTAGCACGTCGGCCGGCAGTGCCGCCGGAAGAGCGGGTAGTACTTGGTGTCGGCGAGCACGCTGACGGCCAGGTCGCGGCTGAGCTCGAACCACTGCGAGCCCTTCCTCCACTGCGCCAGCCTGATCGCCGGCGCCATGCGGCGGCTGTACCGGCCCTGGCACTGCTTCGTCTGCTGGTAGTAGACCTCCACGAAGCTTTGCCGCGAGCCGACGAGGTAGTCGTAGACCGCCCGGAAGCTGTGCAACGGGATGCAGCTCTCGGAGAGCAGCACGAAGCGCTCGTTGGAGAAGTCCAGCAGCGCGTTCGCCAGCAGCCGCCGCTCCGCGTCCATCAGCGATATCGATCCCCACTCCGTCTCCTGCACGCACGCACGCACGCGGAAAAGGATTAATGGCCGCACGTGAGGATGCATGCATGCCGCCGGTCATGGCGCCGGCGGCATTGTGCTGTGCCTTGTCGTGGAGTGTAGCGCGGACGTTACGTACCTGGCTTGGGATTTGGCGGCCGTAGAAGGGCGAGTCGGCGGAGACGTTCACCGTCATCCCCGGCGGCGCGTGGACGTAGACGGAGAAGCGGTCCTCGTTGCCGCGGAAGAAGCGCTCCCAGAGCGGCGCGAGCGGCAGCTCGCCGCGGCCGGTGAGGAACATGAAGGCCACCTTGGGCACGCGCTTGAACGGGTACTCGGCGGCCACCGGCACCATGGAGGCGCGCCAGAAGAGCTGGTCGTCCGTCATGTCGTGCATGAGCCGCGTCGGGGCCACGAACTCCGCGAAGCCGGCCTCCGCCTCGGCGCCGGCCTCGGCATAGACAGTGGTGGTGGTGGTGCTGGGGAAGACGATGCTGTTGTAGGTCCTGGTGTACTGGGTGCGCGGCCCGGTGGCCGTCCAGAGGCCGGCGATCACGCCGACCGCGAAGATCACGAGGAGCATCACTGACCTGGCGAGGCAGGTGGAGGACTCCTTCCTCGTGAACATAACCCTCAAGTCGTCGACGACCCCGCCCTTCATGGCCGAGCTCCCTTGTCGCCACGCCACGCTACAAGACGCAAGCGTACAACGCCACTACGCGGCAAAACCAAAACCAAAACCAAAACCCCTCGACATGAACGACGGGGAGAGCTCCGTTGCTCGATCGATCGGTCGGTCGACGGATTTAAACGAGAAGGTCGGCGGCGGATCGCGTGCGAGGCTCGGCTAGCAAAGCATACGATGCGATGCCAGGGCGAGCCGCGCACTCCAGTACGTACACCTCTCCGGCTCCTGATTATTCCCGGGAGCTAGCTAGCCTTCACGGGCAAGCCATGGAGGGAGGCGGAGAGCCGGAGAAAGGTATATGCAGCCGCGGGATCGATCGATCGGTGTTTCCCAGGATGGCGGTGGTAACGTGCGAAAAACAGGCCGGGATGCGGCCAAAAGGAGGGGAGATCGAGACAGGGATCGAGGGAACAACAAGAGGGCGAGGCGCGCGAGAGAGGAGGATCTCCCGCGTTTGAAGTACGTAGCGTGTGCACGCGGGAAGGCGATTTATATACGGCGAGCGCCGTCGCGGGGACACACGAGTCTTCTCGGTAATGTCAAGCCCTGGTATGCTCGATCGATATATGCTGTCCAGCTTGACGGGATATATGTCAGTTATAGTTTCGAGGACGTATATGCATAGGAATCCAAGGCGCGTACGTGCGCGCGCGCAGCTTCCGTTCCGGATTGTGTATGGAAGCTTCCTCAAAATACATATCGGTTTTAGAAGTACACGAAGACGACAACTTCAAGGATGGCAGAGGGCATATTCGCCAAGGTGAAGTTTGGTAGATTGGTGTCGGATATGTGTAATCTGGCGCAAATGTATAAAGGCACCGTGGGTTAGGATAAATAGACTAGTGAAATTGGTAGACAAACATAGGTCAGAAAGAAGATGATCCAAGCACAAGCGGCGGTGGTGGTCGGTTGATTCTGGCAAGATGATGGCCTCAAGTGGCTTTGTGGTCGATTGCACTATGTCGATTTAGTAATACGGGGAGAAGCGTCTGTGGTCATACCCTAAGAATAGTCTCTCTTTTTTTTTTGCGTACCAATTGAGAGCTTTATTCAACGAAAGAGCTCCTAGCATCATCAGCCATAAGACTGGTGAGTAGGAAAGAGGGTCTATATCGAGTCCAACTTTCGGTGGCCAACAATGTGCATGCATGTTTAGTACAAAGGTGTGCCAGTACATTGGCTGATCTGCTTACATATTGAATAACAAAAGAAGAAAAAGAGGAAACTAGCTCTCTAATTTCTAAAAGTAAAGGTGCCACAACAAAAAGGCTATTGTAACGAGTGTTCCAGAGATTAACAATCTCCAGGCAGTCTGTTTCCATGATCACATGGGAGAAGCCACGTAGATTAGCAAAGATAACTCTATCACGCAGCGCTAAAGTCTCCCCTATGAACGGATCCGATATCCCCGGATGGGGTTTGCTCCAGGCACCCAACAAGGCATTTGTGGATCGAACTACACCTCGCGCGCCCACCTTATTGGAGTCCACATTTACAGTTGCATCTGTGTTTATCTTGACGATCCCCAACTCTGGAGGTATCCACCCATGACCCGGGAGTATCGAAGCATGTGAGTCAGGCATATCAAGCAAAGCCAAATCCTCCCGAATTCTCTTAACCAAAATAAAAGGGTCAAGTTGATCATCATCATGAGTAACTCTATTCCACGAGTGCCATATGGACCACATTACAGAAATCATTTGAGCCCTTTGAACATCAGAGAACCTCCCATCACATATGATGTCACGGGACCATGTATCAGGGTGCAAGCGTGGCCTTCGAAGATCAAACATTGCAAAAGCTTGTTCCCAGAACAACTTGGCATGGGAGCAATTCACTAAGGCGTGCATATTTAATCCTCATCCATCGCATTACAGACATTACATCTGCTGATTACCTTTATATGACGATGCCTCAGGGTACTTTCATCTGGAAGAATTCCACGAACCACTCTCCGCCAGAAAACACGAACCTTCGGCAAGATCTTGAGCTTCCATAGCGACTTCCACATCTGTTCTTCTATCTGTGAGGATTCGGTAACCGTCCCTTCCCCTAGAGCTACAAGCTCCTTCTGGGTCACGAGAGCACGGTACACCAATTTTACAGAATAGATGCCACTTCTTTCATGAGCCCAAGCAAGAAAATCATCACCACCCCCCGTCCTCAGCGGGATATTCAGTATGGCATCGGCATCAGGGGCTGTAAACACGTCCCTAATCAATTCTCAACGCCAAGTCCAGTTATCTGGGTCGATGAGCTAATCAACTGTCTCGAGGGTAGTCCCACCCGGTACAACCATGGGCGACAGAGTAGCGAGACCTGGAATCCATCTATCATGCCAAATTGAAATAGTGGAGCCGTCTCCCACCCTCTTGATCAGACCAGCGTGGAGCGCCCTGCCAGCCACTATCGCTCGCCATATGGCAGAGGAAGTCTTTGGCACCGTGGCCTCCATGAAATCACTATCAGGAAAATACCGGCCCTTCATTACCCGAGCACAAAGCGACTCTGGATTAGTAATGAACCTCCAACCGTGTTTACCGAGCAGCACCAAATTGAAAAGCTTCAAGTCACGAAAACCCATTCCCCCGTGAGCTTTCGGATTAGCAAGTTTCTCCCACGCCACCCAATGAAGATATCGACAATCCAGGGAGCCACTCCACCAGAACTTTGCCATGCTGGCCGTGATGACCCACAAGTATAGGGGATCTATCATAGTCCTTTCAATAAGTAAGAGTGTCGAACCCAACGAGGAGCAGAAGGAAATGATAAGCGGTTTTCAATAAGGTATTCTCTGCAAGCACTGAAATTATAGGTAACAGATAGTTTTGTGATAAGATAATTGGTAACGAGCAACAAATAACAACAGTAAATAAAGTGCAGCAAGGTGGCCCAATCCTTTTTGTAGCAAAGGACAAGCCTGGACAAATTCTTATATAGAGAAAAGCGCTCCCGAGGACACATGGGAATTATCGTCAAGCTAGGTTTCATCACGATCATATGATTCGTGTTCGGTACTTTGATAATTTGGTATGTGGGTGGACCGGTGCTTGGGTGCTGTTCTTACTTGGACAAGCATCCCACCTATGATTAACCTCTATTGCAAGCATCCACAACTACAACAAAAGTATTAAGGTAAACCTAACCATAGCATGAAACATGTGGATCCAAATCAGCCCCTTACGAAGCAACACATAAACTAGGGTTTAAGCTTATGTCACTCTAGCGACCCATCATCTACTTATTACTTTCCAATGCCTTCCTCTAGGCCCAAATAATGGTGAAGTGTCATGTAGTCGACGTTCACATAACACCACTAGAGGAGAGACAACATACATCTCATCAAAATATCGAACAATACCAAATTCACATGACTACTAATAGCAAGACTTCTCCCATGTCCTCAGGAACAAACGCAACTACTCAGAAAGCATATTCATGTTCATAATCAGAGGGGTATTAATATGCATATAGGATCTGAACATATGATCTTCCACCAAATAAACCAACTAGCATCAACTACAAGGAGTAATTAACACTACTAGCAACCCACAGGTACCAATCCCAGACTTGGAGACAAGAATTGGATACAAGAGATGAACTAGGGTTTGAGAGGAGATGGTGTTGGTGAAGATGTTGATGGAGATTGACCCCCTCCCATTGAGAGGATCGTTGGTGATGATGATGGCGATGATTTCCCCCTCCTGGAGGGAAGTTTCCCCGGCAGAACAGCTCCGCCAGAGCCCTAGATTGGTTCTGCCAAGGTTTCGCCTCGTGGCGGCGGAGTCTCGTCCCGAAAGCTTGCTTATGATTGTTTCCTCAATGAAAGACTCCATATAGTAGAAGATGGGCATCGGAGGCCCACCAGGGGGCCCACGAGGTAGGGGGCGCGCCCAGGGGGGTAGGGCGTGCCCCCACCCTCGTGGGCAGGGTGTGGGCACCCTCCGGAACTTCTTGCGCTCAGTATTTTTTATATATTATGAAAATGACTTCCGTGAAGTTTCAGGGCTTTTGGAGCTGTGCAGAATAGGTCTCTAATATTTGCTCCTTTTCCAGCCCAGAATCCCAGCTGCCGGCATTCTCCCTCTTTATGTAAACCTTGTAAAATAAGAGAGAATAGGCATAAGTGTTGTGACATAATGTGTAATAACAGCCCATAATGCAATAAATATCGACATAAAAGCATGATGCAAAATGGACGTATCAACTCCCCCAAACTTAGACCTCGCTTGTCGTCAAGCGAAAGCCAAAATCGAAAAATATCTCCACATGTTTAAAGATAAAGGTGTCGATACAAAAAAATACGGACATGAGGGCATCATGATCATTCTTAGAACAACAACTTATATAATTCTTGTCATATGATCTCTTATGCTAGAGTAACAATTCAATCACAATTTCAAGTATAAATCATAAACTTCATTGAAAACTAACAACTTATAATCTCAGTCATTGGAGCAATTGCAATTTATCATAACATAGGAAAGAGTCAATATAAGAGCTTTTCAGCAAGTCCACATACTCAACTATCATATAGTCTTTCACAATTGCTAACACTCACACAATACTTATGGGTATGGAGTTTTAATCGGACACAAAGAAAGATAGGGGCTTATAGTTTTGTCTCCAAACGTTTTACCTCAACAGTAATGTCAACAATAATAGTTCATGAAAACTCACATCCAATTAGCCATATATACCAGGATATTTCCAACATGTTGTGCTTGACAAAAGATAAAATTTAAAAAGGAAGGGTGAAGATCACCATGACTCTTATGCAAGGTAGGAGATAAAAGTAAAAGATAGGCCCTTCGCAGAGGGAAGCAGAGGTTGTCATGCGCTTTTATGGTTGGATGCACAAAATCTTAATGCGAAAGAACGTCACTTTATATTGCCACTTGTGATATGGACCTTTATTATGCAGTCTGTCGCTTTTATTTCTTCCATATCACACGATCATATAAAGCTTATTT